CCTGTTATGAAAACAGAGAAGTCCTTCAAATTGCATCATGATGTGTGTGTGATCAAGTCAGCATCTGCCAGCAGAGTGTCCTTATAAAAAGGGTAAACATTATTTTTACATTAAAAAGTCAGCATTATTGAAGCAGGCAAAGATTATTATGAGCCTTTAAGAAGAGCTTGACAAAGCACCTGACGACATCTCATTCTAATGTCTTCTTCCAGGCAACGAATGATAATTAACCACTCGTCCACCCTCTTGAGAGCTCTAATGCTTCCTCATTAAACCACAGCTCCTGCATTATTAAAAAGCAGAGAATGTTAGGTGTTCAGCTGAGGCTAAACTCTGCATCAGATTTATGTATCAGGAAGTGGGACAATCTGAATAACCCGAGGTGTGTCCTTCTACTTCCTCTTTGTTCAGCACCAGTTAGCAGCAACAAGCCAATAAGTTTTCAGTAAGGCAGCATTTAAGACCTTTTTTTTTTCAAAACACCTTTGTTGGAACAAAGGAGGACAACAGTGTTGAATTATGCATTGGAAATTAGCAAATGTGTCCAAATGCATTTATGCTTTTAGCAGTTTCTTGTCCATCTTCATGCAGGTGGCTTCTGTCTCAAAATTAAAGCTAATGTCTCTTGTAATCTTTTAAAGTGGGGGGTCCTGTGAAAATGTTATGAGCAATCATAACTATTTTAGAATGATGCACTTCTGAAGATCAGGTAGACTGCTGCTGTCTTAAAAAACAAACTCCAGTCCAATAAAAACTGCATATAGTTTAAGCAAAAACAGCTAATGCTAAATTATTTTCTTGCAGGGTTATTATATTATTTCTGCCAAATCTGAAAAAAGTAAAAAATATATATATTATGCATTCCAGCTGTTTTGTTTTCATCTTTTTTCAGACTTACCATGTCTTTGATAAAAATAAAATATTCATATAGTAATGGGAAACTGACAATGGTCTAAAGATTTATAAAATAGTGTGTCATATAAACTCTTCAGAAATGTTTTATATTGTAGTTGTTTTAAGATACACGTGGCCTTGTCCCTGCTCAGATTAGCAATAAGTTCAACAGTTTGGTCAGAGATATAGGCTATTGTTTATCCAAACTGAAATTGCTCAAAGACCTATCTAAACCTAGTGTTCATAACCTTTTTGCAAAAGTTCTAAATCATCCCTTTAACTTTAGCAAGCCGTGCACAGTAGATACTCAAAGTGAGAATGCATGCACCGAAAATGTTTTTTTTCAACCACTTCTATTTTTGCAAGTGGAAGTTGCAGCTCCGTTCCTCAAACCGTGGCGGAACTTCCAAAGGCAATGCAGTTTTAGCAAGACCCACGTTGTGCAACCATTTTGCTAAACCAGTCAGGCACATATAACAGGAAGCACAGCGATGAAAGGTATAAACAGGGCTCCGTCACATGCAGCTATTGGTTAAATCAGGCCGCAGCCAGCAGAACATTACCTTCAACAGGGAACTACTGTTAAAGAGCATGGGCCCATTCCTAAAAGAGTTAATATTTTCTGCTGTGCATTCATTGCCAACATATCTTCCTGTGAGAGCAGGATGTGGTTGTACATGCACCACTTTCAGAATAACTCTTCATCAGTTCTTTCCTCTCCTTTTATAGTAAAACCTTGCTTATTGCCCCCAGTGAGTAAATACAAAAGAACAAAGAATATCAACTCTGCAGATCACTGAGTTGGCATGAATTATCTGTAGAGTGTAGTAGAAAGAGCACGCTTCTTTGGCTAAAGTTATTTTAAAAAATCCTGCCACCTGACTTTATTGCATGCTTGAAATGAGAAGGAAACAAAATACCATACTGTATGTTAGTTTTGTCCATCTTTGATTCTTTATTTAACATGTTTTCGGCAGCAGTAAAGTCTACTATTCAGAGTACACAATTCACCAGTCAYTGGTCGTTTAGCATAAAGTGTAAGCTTATTTAWAATGTGTTGGAGTCAATTCACTCAYGCACGCAGAGACCTCTGGTGTCAGAAATGAAAACAGTCACAATAAAGCAGCTCTTTGTAAAGTTAAATGTTTTAGTTTTGTAAATAAAATGAAAGATCTTGGCCTAGGMTATATGATCAAACAATAAAAAAGTTCAATGTAAATGTATTTAGAGTTTGTAAAAGATGCAGTGACGCTGATCAAGTCGAGCAATTTTTCTCTAAATGTTTTTTGCCAGATCCCATCCTGATGGCCTGTAAAATGTTTCTACTCATTTTCTGTTTGTTTGATTTGTAAAGCCACTAAGGCAGAACTGAATATTAGTTTCTTAGTTTCTTCATCATCAGTGACTTTTTTAAAGAAGAAAAAGAAAGAGAAGAAAAAGGTGAAATG